TTTTATTTGTGTATAAGAATACTATTGATATTGTGTGTTGATTTTATCTTACTGAATTTGGTTATTAATTCTAGAAGCCTTTCAGTAGAGCTTTTAGAGTCCTTTATGTGGAGGCTCATGTAATCAGCAAATAATGATAATTTAACTTCTTCCTTGTCATTCATATTCTGTTTATTTCTTTCTCCTGTGTAATTTCTCTAATGTTTCCAGGACTATATTGGACAAAAGTAGAGATAGTGAACACCCTTGTCTTATACTTGATTTTAGAGTGAAAGTTTTTGAGTTTTACCTAGTTAGCATGATGTTGGCTGTTGAATTGTCATAGATTGGTTTTATCAGATTGAGACGAGGACGTTGTACTCTATTCTATTTTTTTTTTCTATAGCTTTGCAATACAGCTTAAATCTAGGATTGTGTTGCCTCTTGCTTTGTTCTTTATTACCCAGGATTCCTTTTGCTGTTTTAGATCTCTTCTGGTTCCACATGAATTTTAGTCTGTTTTCTCTTGCCCTGTAAGAAATGTTGGTATTTTGATTGAGACTGTATTCAGTTTGAGGTTTATGGCCATTTTGACAGAATTGGTTCTGTGTATCCTGGGATAGGCTATATCTTTTCATTTTCTAATATTCTCTTAGATTTCCTTTTTAACATTACTGTAGTTTTCATTTTAGAGAACATTCACTTTGCTGTTTAGGCTAATTCCTACATATTTATTTTTCTTTATGTGATTGTGAATTGTGTTTTTTCCTTAACTTCTTTCTTTGTGGATTCATTCTTGGCAAAAATAAATGCAACTGATTTTTGTGTGTTAATTTCGTATCTCGATACATTGCTTAATTTGATTATTAATTTAAGCAATTTTTGGTGAAATTTTTTGTCTTCTAGGTTAAAAAATGATCATGTCATATGCAAATAATCATAATTTGACTTCTTTCTTTCCTATATTTATTATTTTGTATTTCTGTCTCTTGTCTATTTGGTTTCACTAATATTTTGAGTATTATATTGAACAGTAGAAATAAAAGCATAGAAAAAACCTAAATATGTCACAGAATTGTTTTTGATTTAAAGTATGAAATTTGCTAACAATGTGACCAATCGCCACAGTAAGTTGCTTTTGATTTCTGAGCCTTTAATTTTCTGACATGTAGACTAAAGATAATACTACTTTACATGCTTTATCAAATATAATCCAGATGAAAATTCCAGACATATTTCCAGTTATAAAGTTTAAACTACAGTTTTATTAGCTCCCTCTATGTCTTTTATTGCCTGTAGTCACATTTTGATTTGCTTAAATGAGTGCAATTTATCTACTTTCTGAATCTACCCCGATTTCCATTTCCACCTGCACTGCTAAGTTCATCTTCATTTTTACCAAATACTGTAAACTTTTGCCTTTCCTTTTCTAATATTTTCATTTCAAAATTGAAATCAAATAAAGCAAACATTAGGTGGACTTCTGATCTCCTTTAAGACTACATTACCCACTGCAGCTTCTGGAAAAATGAAACAACTTATATCTGAATAGAAGAGCTATTGATATTCAGAAGATTCCTAATTGGAACTGGATTTTCCTTTTGAAAGTCAGCGTTACTCACACCTTTTCAGGGAAAACAGCCTAGTAAGAGCTCCTTGCTACCTAGTGGATCTGTTTACTATACTGTGTTTTTTCCTTTCCCAATATCAACAGCCAGTTTGATTGCCTTTTTAATTACTGAATTTCTTCTGTTTTTTCTTTACTTACAATATTGTTTTTTCTCTCTGACTCATTTTTTAGGTACTATTAACACAAATGCTGTCTTTTGGCAGAGCCCATGTTTTCCTATTGTGTACAGTAGTCAGGAGGCTCTCAAAAACAAAGATGTTGCATATCCACGGGAAAAAAAAATTACCTGTATATTTCTATATATTTGTGAAGATAAAATAACAAAATCTCCATTTTGTTTGAATATTTTGATGATTTTTTTTTATTCTAGTGAGGAAACTAGCAAAATGACTTTGAAACACTTTAATTAAAATATTTTGGAAATCTTTTATCACAAGACTATGTAGTGCATCACACTCTTAGTAATTTGGTTGTACAAAAGTAAATGGAATTTAATGAACTCATAACTGGAAATACTTGTTCTTCTAAATGTACTGTTAAGATCCCTAGATTGTATCTTAAGAGTGACATTGGGGAAGGCTCATTTCATGTTCTTATTGTATGTACCTGAAAAGTTCCATTTTATTTTATATTTGGTCTTTTATTTTCTTAACTGGTTTGGTTTTACTCTTATCATTTTTATGAAAGGAGTAAACACATAAAATCTATTTCAGAATGAACTCTGGTGCCTTATATTTCAGGTGGGAGTATTTCGTATACACTTTATATTGCAAGAATTTTTCCCATAAAGTAATGGTCTCTTTCCTACTGGTAAATTTCAAGAAACATATTAAAGCAATCAATTTTAGAAGTTGTTGGTAGTTGATAGTTTCACTTCTTTGATATCATCGCTAGAATACAAGAGACTCAAATGTAAAGTACAGTGAAAGTTACAAAATAATCTCATATATTAATGTATTCACAATTCTAATTAAAACGTAAGCGCTCAAAATCTATCAATAAATTTCTTAAAGAATGTTTCAATACTAGAAAATCTGTTAATAAAATGTACCATATAAATAGGTTAAGTGAGAAAAATCTACAGGGTCAAATTAATAGGTGATCAAATATCAATATTTGCTATGCACCCTGAAATGTAAAACTCTTTGAAAGAAAGTATTTGCATAGAAGTATAAAAAATGCATTATGGAAAAAAAACTTGCTATTATACTTTATAATAAAGCACTCAAAGCACATTAAATCAGAAAAAAATACCTAAAACAACTCAGTGAAACAACAAATGCAGCTGTAGAATGTTGAAATAGCCTGCGTATTTCCTTAATATATTATGCCTTTAATAAAAGCTGAAGCAAGCTTTGTAAGAAATAGCTCAGCGTTAAAGTGGTTTCCATTTAATTTAGGAACAAGACCAACTTCACCATTACAATGATTATTTTTCTAAATGTTATGAAATCTCTAATATAATTAGTCAGAAAAAGAAAAAAGAATAAATTTACCTTCAAAAGAGGAAAATAAAAATGAATTGTTAATGACATAACTTTCTGTCTTAGAAGACTAAGAAAATCAAATAAACCAATTATACTTTATTGCTACATTAGCATAGTTTGATACAGAGTAATAGAGAAATCAAATTGCCATATATAATTATAATAAATACCTCAAATTAAATAGAAAATCAGGAGCCATGTATAATAGCAGAAAAACATAAACATTTCAGTAAAATGCTAAAACAAAATTTTGACATTTATAGGTAGGAAGATAAATTGATTTTCCATGGAATTTAAAGCAAAATGAAATAAATATCTTTTTGAAAATACATATTTCAACATTTCTTCACTATATATATATATATATATATATATATATATATATATATATGACCGTACTGAACCAAATATAATTTTTAGGAATACATAATAAATCTCTTAAAGCAATTTTAAGCATCCTGTGGGATCATACACAATCAGAATTAAGTCAATAAGTCAAAGGAGTTTTCACAATCATTAAAAGGATTATTTGTGCACAATACATAAAATAGCATTAGAATAACAGAGTATTTGGATAGTTCAATGCTCGAGTGATGAAAAGTTAAAAAGTAAAGAAAATTATGCACATTTACTTACATCATGAATCTTTAATAGTATAGTAAACAGATAGGAAAACTAAATGGATTAACTCATAAATTGCAATAAGATAATTGGCTAACAACGTGTTTCCTTCCCTACATCACATTTTACCTCAAAATAAAACCTTCATGTTAAATACTTAAGGTTAATTTCATTATATTTAAAAGTTAATTCTCAAGGATTTATTTTTCTAGTACCCAATATTGTTGAGTGCACTTCAATATGCTATCAATCAAGTTAGAATTCTTATAAAACTTCAGGAAAGCAATTTGAAAATATGTATCATTTTAAAAAAACATTTATAATACATGATTCAGCAATTTCATCATAAGAAATGTATTTTTAAATATTCAGTAACATTTAGAAAGTTCTCATTATAATACAATAGTAGTAGCAAAATTTTGCTCCGATATTATAGACTTTGTTAAATAAATAAGGAAATACTTAAACTTAAATTCATTGTTGTTATTAAAATAAAACTTGCATTTATGTAGGGAATTCTCAGTGTTTTCTCCATCTCTGTCCCTCAATTTGCCTTTTTTCTCCATTTCTTGTCTCTGTGTTTTCATCTATGTTTCTAGTAACATATATTTATCATTAACATATATGTAAATCTACTTACACATACAGATTGACAATATTTATTCCATAAAGCCAATAATTAGAGGTAATTATTTAAAAATTTGTTCTGTTTTGTTTTCTTACATTTTTCTGATTTTTTAATCTTCATTATGATTATGGGTTACTCATAAAATATAATATTATATTCATAGTATAATAACTATGTCTTAATATAATTTTGTTAATTAACATATAAAGATATTGGTAGCTCTTATTAGACTGTAAACAGAATGGTAGTACATTATCCATCTTATATACCTTATATGCACATAATACTCAATGATAAATATATACTGGTCATATTTTTGTACTGAATGTGATACCATTATTTAAAAAGTAATTATGTATGCATAGTACACAAAAATAAAATGCAAATTTATGTTTCTGCCTTTAAAAAGAAATAAAATATGCTTAAAGGATTAACAAAGGGTCAATTAATGTGATGTGGATCAGCAAATTGTGCGATGCAGAGAAGACCCATCTAGATTTTCTGGAGAAACAATTATTGCATTTTAAAAATGAGTTACTTACCAATAAGGTGAAAGAGTTTTGAACATTGAACATTGCATTTGTTGCAGAGATGGAATGGGATGTGAAAAGCCTTGGAGACAGAAAAAAAAATCAAATGTTTTCTTTTTTTTTAGATTTGAAAGGAAGAATCATTGGATGAAAGTTGGAATAGAGATTTCTAAGAGGAGCATAGCAGAAGGTACTCCATCTCCAAGAGCTTCATTGACATGTCTACAGCTTTAATTCATCTCTAAGCCACAGAAGACTTTAATGAAGGCCTCGTAAATAATCAGTAAACATACACATAGTACTACGAGTATGCTGAAAGCATTTAATGTTCCCCAAATATTACAGTTTTGGGGGAAACTTTGAAAATATAATTTGGAATCAAATTATACATCAAATAAGGTTTATGTTGTGGTTCATAAAATTTCTGCAAATATGCTTTTAATCTTTTTTTCTTAATGTACATCAGCATTACAGGATATTTTATATTCATACAGACAGATCAAAAGATACACAATGGACAGTGTTTACAGGTGAATGGGTGAAGTGCTGGAGCAAACATCTTTCCACATAGAAGTAAAAATACAAACATACTAAAGATATCAAAAACTCAAAATCTTGTAAAATAGATAGAAATTTAGCTAGCTAGATAAATGTCTTTCTTTCTATGCCTAGAAAAAAACTTTATTAAAGACCCATAAAATAGAAGTAACAAAAGAGGATGACAAAGCAAAATTTCTTACAAAGCACATAAAAGTCATAATGATAGAAAATATAGTAACTTCACATAAAATTTTAGCTAACAGGATAAATGCTGTCATGTAAAAGTAAGCAAGTAACATACAGAAATATAAAGACAAAACAGTCAAAGGAGAGGAACCAGAATAATCGTATGAATCATCCATCCCAAGAAACAGTGTAATAAATTTCACAAATAATCCAACATTATTTCATGTTCATCAGATACAAAAACTGAAGAAGTTCTGCCATAGAACTTGAAAAAGCAATAAAATAGGAAAGGAACACTCCATATAATTTTAAGAGAAGCCTAAATTAGTTCAACTTCCTTAAACAACAGTAAATATAATCCAATAAATGTATGTACATATAACCATGTAACCAAAATTTTGCAATCATAAGTAAATTCTTACACAGCCTAGACAGGTATGCATAATAATACTCTCTGAATCTTAATTATAGTATGTGGATATTGGAAGGAAAAAATACAAGATCCTGAAAATCTATTATAGTATATTCATAGACTACACATGAAATACTGTTTATATCACATATGTTTACGTACACCTTACAGAATTAAAAAATGAGATACTGTATAAAGGAGCTACAAATGATTGCATGTGTGTAAATTACAAAGTTTTTTTCATGAATATAAATGTATATATGGGTGGCAAATTATATAAGGTACAGAAATAATATCTAAAAATATGAAGGAATAGAGAGGTGAATTTAAGGATTTCTACTCTAATTTCTGTTAAACATACTTTGAAAAAATATATGTTATATTCATAAGTATATTTTAATTGAATAATAATGGACGTTAATAATAATAATGGACGTTACATTAATCTTTGCAATTTTCTGGTATTTCGAAGATTGTTATTTTCCAAATATATATGATTTGGGCTTATCTAAGAAAATAAGATTTAGTAAAGAGAAAGTATATTGATATTTATTTATTTTCAATTTATTTTTAGTTTATTTTCAAACAATTAACAAAATAATGTTATTAGGTGAAAATAAAAGCTACTGTATCAAACTCTTCTGATAACAATAATAGAAAGAATTAAAGTGATATGTAAATCTGTTTAAAAGTGAAATCTGGCAAGGACGACACAATAAATGTGATTCCTTTGTGAATTACTGAAAGTACTATCTTCAAAGCAATGAATTGCAAATAGCACGTTTTTCTTGTGGATGTATAATAGCATCCCTTTCTCTGGATGATGCAACACCTAGGAAATGAATTATTAATGAAATTTTAGCACTCGTTCTTAGTATTAGCCAGAAACTCTTGGGTGTCAATAGAAACCAAAAATTTGAATTTTAATGATATGGCTGTGGACATTTGTTAATGCTAACAGTTAATAAAAGAATGCTGTATTTGGGGGGCTTGATGCTATAAGTTGTGTCATGTGAAATGTTTGTGTTTGTTCTCTCTTCTTCTGATATATAATTTTTTTTTTTTAAACTGGGACTCAACTCAGGACCTTGCACTTGTCATTATGCCACTGAGCTATACACCCAGCCAGTTATATAATTTTTGAGTTTATTTAAGAGTATAGATCAGTGTGCCTTTTCTGAGGAGACTCTTCACCATGGATCAAAACACAGAAGAGATTCTGCAAAGAACAAGATTCTGAAAGTGAATAAGAGTTCAAAACGAAGCTCTTCTGTTACCCAGTTGTAAATCTCTGGGTATATCCTTGATTTTTCTGGGGTTTATTAACTCATCCTACTCCGCCTGAATCTCCTTGGTTCTCCAAGACCCTGTAAAGTCTTACAATCCACTTTATTGTTACTTGGAGATTCCTATCAATAAAGCACCTCAATCCTTATCCCCGTGTAAGCTATGGTGGTATTCCTTATTATTATTATTATTCAGTGCTTTACACCACAGCATTACTAAAGACTAGTCATTGCAAACACTTTGAATATATCAGAGATCTAATTGCCAGTAATTCATTGAACTTCTTTTGCTCCATCAAAAATTTCTACTTTTTAAAAAATATATCCCAATGCTTTCTTTATGTCCTCACATACTTCAACATGAGTAGAATAAATTCAGCAGAACAGAACTAACATCTTTCCGATCTTAGTAGCTGCCAACAGAATTTTACCACAGTGAGTCTGAGCTTGTCTGAGGCATTTTCCTTGCCCAGCAATTTAAAGGAGAGGTAAGTTTTGGTTCAGCTAACTCCATAGCAGAACAAGCATGGCAGAGCGGCCTGGCAGAGAAGAGCTGCTCATGGCTTGGCAGGCACAAAATAGAGGTAGAGAGGATGAACTGAGGAGGGAGACAAACAGTTCCAGGCCATGCTCGCAGTGGCCACCTCTTTTAATCACATGCTTTAGCATCACTTCACCCAATCGCCTTCCAAAACCCACCTATGAGTGCATGGGTTCTCAGGGAACATTCAGATATAAATGATAACATCGAATCTCTACACCAGCTCACCAAATTGTTGAATACTATTTTGAAATTCATTAAGGCCAAAGTCCAGTTTGGTAGGAAATCAATATAGTTGGTTAGTTGGGACAAAGGCAAGATTATTTTTACAAGAAGAGGTAACACAAAGAACCATTTGAGACAGCTGACAAGAGCCCATAAACACTGTTAAAGCAGAGGCACTGATGCACATTTGTGGACCCCTGAAACTATTATCCTAAGTGTTCAAAATTGGATACGTTAACACCTCAGTTGAAGAATCATCTCAGGTATTTAGAATGCTCAACTGGCCTTCCATGTCTGTACAGGATCGAACTTACTGCAGCAAGGTCTCATCATCTTATCTATATGATGTTCATACTATATAAGCCGAAAGAAAATTAGAATGATTCTTAATAATAATTATCTATTAAGAAATGTCCTTTACCCCCAGTGAAATCATTAACTTTATTTTTATTTTTATTAACTTTAAAAGCTATAATATGCCTACATAATGTGTATTTTCATCTTGTCAAACCCACAAAATAAGAATTACATATACTCAAATGAATAACTCCACATACTTTATCCAAAATTTAGCATATCACATAGTTATATACTTTTATCTTTATGTTAGTACTAATATTTTCCCTTATTATGTGATTTAACCCCTTCATTTATTCTTTCAGTATTACTCTCCATTCTATGAGCATTTCACAGGTTTTGCTGAAGTTAATGTTGCTTGTGTATAAAGCAAGGCACTGAAGATGCCTACATAAGTTTCGCAACTTATAAACAAATAGGTTTGGTCCTGGCTTTTTTATTAACTGTTAGCAAAATCATCCATGCATGAATCAAGACACTAGTGAGAAGCCCTCTAAATCAATAAGATTAAAAGCAGCAGGTATCAAGCACAATTTACATTGCTCACAACACCTTGCTTTACCACACCCCCACAGGAAGAAGCACTAATAAAAATTAAGCAATAAATGAAAATTTCACTACGTTATGCAACAAATAATAGGATTGGTAAGTTTCATGTCAGCCACCACGATCATATGCTTAACCCAAATGAATACATTCTGGTGTAAAGAGTATTTTAGAACTAAAAATAAGATTAAATTTGATGTAGGTTGTAAAAAATTGTAGATAAAATATGAACCAAAATCAAAAGTAATCTTAACGTGTCTGAATACATGAAAGTTAAGATTCAAACTGGGATTAGATACTCCACTATGCTTAGCCATAAGCATAAAAATTTCATAACAACAAATTTTGCCTGAGAACTACTAACAGCAGCTTAAAACTCAAAGGACTTGGCAATGCTTTATATCCACCTAGAGGAGCCTGTCCTATGATGGATAAAACCCAATACACCTCACCACTTTTTGCTAACCTACTGTATATGCCATCTCTTAGCAAATCCCAATACCGAGTAAAAGTAAGCATAAGCACATTACAGAAAAACTATAGGTCGATGTATAACTCATAAAGTGGCAAGAAATGGGTTAGATTTTCATATCCAGGAAACACGTTCATGTAAATTTTTATGAAAATTAAGGATCTAAAAACAATTTAGTAGTAAATTAAGAATACAGAGCTTAATATAATTAGACCATGAAGCACGTATGCATCGCCCATTACCCTCTTCAAATATTGAAACTTTTAATCTCAAAAATTAATACAATATGAGAGGAGATAAGTTATAACAAGGTAATCATACTGGAAAGTGTGCTTGGAAAATCAAAGTGTAGCTTAAACTAAAGCATCCAGCTTCCACCTGGAAGATTACAGTCAGGCCCGTGCACAGGCCTCATAGGTTTATTTAACACATCAGGCCCATAGTTGAAAGCATTTTCGTCACAATAATTTCCTGATCCCAGTACTATTGTGTTAGTACAAGATCTGGTTTTACAAAAGTCCTTGAGAATCAGTAAACGATTTCTGTTACCTGCTGTACATACTTTATCAGTCAAGATCAAATTCAATTTAAGCAAAGTGGATGTGAAGCACATGGTGGCTCTGGGGGACATAGTTGAATCTACTAATGATGATCAAAAAGCAACACAGAAACATCGTAGCCTAGGATTTTGGGTGAGGGAGGATGGGAAAAGGCATCCAAAGACGGTACCACATGTAAGAAAACCCGAAGACAAGTAAAAGAGTGTGATCTGATACTCACAATTTGAAAGAAAGTAAAAAGATAAATAACCTAAAAATGATGGCTGGAAACTTAGGAACATTTCATAGTGGCTAGGTAGATGGAACATCTTACAAGAAGTATGGCCATCACATAGACAGCACATACGTGTTGATTAGGTATTGCTCTGTCTGATAGCTTTCAGTGAGGACAGAAAGATGGATGGTTCAATGGAGAATAAACACCCATAGAATTATACACAAAATAGTTTCCTTTGGTGTGCAAATCACAAATTGCTTTTATTTTCTAAACTAACTTTAAAAAGCATTAATATGGAACATTCTTAACGAAGGAGTTCTGCCAAATTCTTACACTGTTAATGATGTGGCTGCCTGATGGTTAAAAATTCAAGTTCTATGGCATCAGAGAGAAATCTCAGAAGGCCTAAAAATAACTCTGTTGAATCTTCGAATATTTGAATGCTTCCAAGTTAAGTTTTCAAATTTTGAATTGGATTGACTGTGCTTTTGCCTAACTTCTTAGGGTGATTTTTACATAATGCAATAGAAATGACTTTGCATTTAAATGGAAGAAAAGTTTTAAAAGTTTTGAGGTGACATTTTTTTAATATCTAACCTTTGTTTGTTATCCTATATTCCCTCCTGTCCATATCAGCTCAAAAGCAAAAACATCAAGTTCTCAGCCATAAAGTTGCTGTGGAAATTAGTGGAATGGGTCAAATAATGTGCCCAAGGTGTGCTTGCCATGTAAGAGATGTTCTACGACTGAATTTTTATGACCTGCATTATGAACCTCCAGGAAAAGGCATATGGCCTTTAGAAATGGACAAGGAAGGGAGAATTGTATGATCACAGTACAAAATTATAACCCAGTGAATTAGAGGATACACTTCAATAATAAATTATGGACACATTCAAAACAAAATATGTTACTAACTAACATGTTCTAGGAGAGAGTTAGGCACTGCTGCACTTAGTATAATGACATCTTAAGGATTAAAAGGCTTACACTTTTACTTTATAAATATTAATATTGTATTACTGTGCAAAATAATGATTACAACTGTATTTGAATACAACTGTTTGGAATACTGTATCATTTTATACTTCCTCATGATATAAGTAATATATATATATATATATATATATATATATATTTATAACTATGTGAATGAACCAAAGCATATTTTCAAAAATGTTATTGTACCTCTCAGAGGCAATTGCTGCTGATATGTCATAAAAAATTTTCAGACCATATATGCAGAAGTTTATGAATGTACATCTAGGAAGAATTTGCTTGAAAAAGTAGGAACGTGACATCATACAATGAATGCATTGTATTATCTTTTGTCAACTGCACATGCATTGTTTTCCTATTTTATTTTATTTTATTTTTTTATTTTGAAGATAGTGAAATACAACAAAACAAGACAAAACAAAGCCAATTAAGACAATGCAGTAAAATTGGTATAGAACTTCAGAGCAGGATACCGGGAAAACAGTAATAGGTACCTAGTATATCTTGTTATCTTCACAATAGTTGTCCATTCAATCAGGTATAGCAAAATCAAACCAAAAACAGAACACTATAAAACTTCTCAAAATAGAATATTGAATACACAGAACAATTAATCGAACAAAGCAAAACAGTGATAATATTTGCCTTCAAAGAGGAGATAGAAGGAAATCCACCATTTTTGCATACTGTCATCCTCCTAGTAGATGCTCACACCTCTGGCCCCAGGTCAATGTAATCAACCCAACAATACAAGCATTTAATTGCTTTATGTGCCTTAGCTGCTATCAACTCCCGCTGACCTGGAAACACTCCAGTTGCTAACCTGGGGATTGGAGTGGTGGGGTGGGGTGGAGTTTTAGGCTCACTGGAGATGCTGACTTATTCTCTTCCTGCCTTGTCACTGTTCCCTCCTGCTGTCACTGCTTACCAAGAAGGGGGGCTATTTGCTTTTTTTTATTCTGTCCCCCAAGTTCCAAGATGGCTGGTCATGGGAGACACTGACTTGTTCCGTCCCTGGTGTGTCTGCTGTTCTCTCGCAGTGCCACTTGCTTACCAGGAACATTTTCCTATTGTAATAACTTCTCAAATAAAATATGAAACAATATACTATGCAATATCATATAGCATATGTGTAGCAAATGCACAGCTATTTTGAATGCTGTTATAAAGAAGATACTCCAGGGACAACAAGCTTCTGAAAGATGTTATAATTTTATTTTATGAAATAGACA